AACTCCTCATGGCCCTCCCACAACTCTTCTCTCTTCCTGGAGCCCCACAGAAGAGAGATGGGCCATCAGCATCCATGTGGATGGAGGGCACAGAGCACAGGGCCTGATGTCTACTGACCACCACCAACCGGAATACTGGGGAAGCTGCTGCAAAGCCTTCATTTCACAGACAGTCAAAACTGGAAAGAAAAATAAACCACAAAAGCATCAAAAATCCTGAAGTACATATAGCAACTATGAGCACTCCCAGCACTGTGTTAATCCTGACATGCCTAAATTCCTCCATTGCTTTAGTAGGAACTTAATGAACCCACAAACGTTCTGCTCAAGGTGTGGCTGTGCCAACAGGTTTAGCAGCAGCTTCAAAAACCCAGTGCTCCCCTTGCCTCATCTCTTTTCATTTCCTTACAAATGTTCCTGATAAAATACCAGGCAAAAAGGTTGTTGCAAGGATGCAGCAACCTGCTTCAATTGGAGGGCAAAGTTTTAACATGCACTCACATATGAATTTACTCTAAGCTCTTTTCCCTTGATTTCCTCTGACTTCCAATACTCCAATACAATATATAATTGAAATTATACACTAAAATTCAATTCTCTTAATGCTGTATCTTCAGAAAATATCTTGATGTGAAACAGCATAGAAGTCTAAAACCAGTTTCCTTCATTGCTTTTTCAAATTACCTTTTTCAATAATTCTTTTTTAATCATACTATGATAAATCTGGGTTATCTCTAATTCACTGCTGAAACATATTATTGGCCTATACTTTTCTCTTAGGTAATCATTAAGTACAGGCAACACTTCGCAGGTTCAAGAAGTTAAGAAGAGGGTCTCAGGAAGTTTATTATACATATACATCCCAGATAATAACATTATTTATAAACACTTGTATATATACATTTTATGCAATTCAGAAAAAAAAGATGCAGAGACCGAAAAACAACAGAAATTGGCAAATGCACCTTTTGAATTGGGTGATTTCCTACATTTTTCTTTTTCAGGAAGAGAAGTACATGGTAAAAAAAAAAACACATTTGTATTCTGCTGGTTACCATTCAAATGCTCATTCTCTCTCACATTGGTAAAACAGCAGTATTAACAGTGCAGTCAAAAATATTTGTTGGCATGTGGGTTAGGTCCCACTTTGTGAAAAAGCCCCAGTAGTGCAAAGCAGGTATTATGCCAACTTCTCTAGGCAACAGAGGACAACCCTCCTGCGTAGGACACCCACCAGTCTCACTGGAAAAATTACTCTCAGACAGGTAAATTATAATATATAAAACCATGGCCTGGAGGATAATTTGTCTCGGCTACACCAGAAGTCCTTCTAAATGCAGATTATTCTGCCTGCCTCATGAGGACAGACAAACCCTGCGTGTATCACACCAAGTGACAACCTGTATCACCAACCACACACCCCGCGGGGTCTGCCTAGCCTGGAGGTGACACAAAACCAGCACCGAGGCTCAGTTTTGATCCAACAGCCAGTGCCAAAATGTGCACTAGTTAATTCGCACAGCACCATTGAATGGAAAAAGATGGTTGTGCAGTAGGAGGCAGAATTTGGTGTCAGGTCTCAGTAAATGACAATAACAAAAGATGAAGTGACTCAGTGCAGACAAACCTTTTTGGCAAAATATTCCCTAAGTCATGCTATCATCAGTAGGAATGGAGAAACGCCAGTCCTCTCCTAGAGAGCACAGAGAACAGGAGATTGGGCAGCTGATCATATTTTAGGATCTCAGCACCTTACTGCCTCCATACCATCACAAGACCAGAGAGTAAACACCCTCTGCTGTGTCACACACAGCATCTCAACAGCTAACTACTGCTAAACTTCAGTAGTCAGGCAGCAGACTCAGACGTGTGTTCTATCCATTGCCTCTACCACTTCAACTTGCAGAGACAGAAAAAAAATATTAAAAAGGAAAGTAACAGTACGGTCTGAAAAGTAACCACATAAAAGTGTCATCACCTCATCCAGCAAGCCTGCTCCTTGCATGGTTTTCAGTTAGTGGCAGGAAGTGTAATGCTTTTCTCTGGTGTTAGTTCAGCAGAGCCAGCAGCCCCTCTAGAGGGGTTCTCTGGATCCTACTTCTTGCCCGCAGGAGAGCTTGCCCTGAAGATCAGGTGACATGGTCTGGCATCCTCTACTGCTCATGCCAAAAATGGTCCCCTTTTGGATCCTGAGAAGATATTACAGGATAGCACATTTGAAGAAGAGCCCTCAGCATGTTGATGTGTGCTCATCTGGATGGCATAGAAATCACAGATCTGAAGCCTTCCTGTGCAACGCTCACAGAAATGCTTTTCTGAATGAACCTCACCTTTCAGAAAACAAAGTAACACATGGGCAAAACACTGATGCAGGAAAGAGT